CTTGAGGCAAATTCTACAAGACACACTTGGGAGACAGAAATGAAGACTCTAATGAAGCTGCCATAGCTGAAAGATCAGCCTTTAAAAAAAAAATACTTTCATTGATTTCAGAGAGAAAGAGGGAGATATAAACATCAAAGATCAGAATCATTGATTGGCTGCCTCCTGCACGCCACCTACTGAGGATTGAGCCTGAAACTTGAGGATGTGTCCTTGGCCCAAATCGAACCTGTGACCCTTCAGTCTGCGGGTTACACTCTTATCAGCTGAGCCAAAGTAGCTGGGGTGAGACCAGATTTCTTATCACAATTTAGTGCGAGGATCTGCCCTAACTCAAGTCCATATTCTAACTGCATGCGTGTGGATCATGGTGTGTGTGTGGGGTGGGGTGGGGGGGGGGAGAGGAAGCAAAATTTCTGGAACACATCCATTTGATAAAAGCTATTCCTGCAGAAAAGATACACAGATATAATTCCAGGGGGTCCATGGGAGCTCCTGAGTCTGGGGTAAAGCCACTCACAGTCCACGTTGCTCTCCTTCCCTTCTGACTGTGCCGAGTTACCCAAAGTGCCTCCTCCTGACTTTATTGCAGAGACTAACTTTTATGGTAATTATGAGATGGAAGTTAACCATTACTATAATAATCACTTCAGGGTGTGTATGCTGAGTCACTACACTTACCAGCATGTCCGCGCCAGCCCGACTATCCTAGATGCCTATGGAGTGGGAGCGTGTCCAGCTCTGTGGCTCACCTACTTCCCTGGATGTGGTCAGGAAGAGCTTTGGACAGAAAAGATGTTTCTTTACTCCCCTCCCCATCCCTGGTCTATGGAATTTACATAATGCTTTTGGAAAAAGCAGAAAAACATGAACCAGCATGCCAGAGTGGGGGTGGGGGGAGCGGGAGCACTCATCTCTTCACCCTTAGGAACTACTTCTCTAAAAAAGTGTTATCTTAGTGGATTTTAAATTCTGTGGTAGTGAAACCCATTCTGCCCCTCCCCCATGAATCTTATATAAACCACACATCTATCAAACAAATAAAAGCTGAATTTTTGAAAAATTTATAGGTTCATATTGGTAACAAAGTTAAATGAAAACGAAAGCTAATGAGTTGCTGGTCTCCAAAGTGTTGGAATTTGGTATATAACATTTTTAAAAAGTAAAATGTTAGAATTTACATAAAAACAGCTTCTGCAGTGTAGGTGTGGCCACTGGACTAGATGGTGTCGAAGGTTCTAGCTCTAGGTCAGAAGCCCTCCCGTGTTCGTGGCCACCCCTCGACACTGAGGCTTCTCGGCGATCCTGGGGCGGCACATGTTCGTGGCCTTCCCCTAAAACGCTCTGGGTGTTTCCATGGCGTCTGCAGTGCTGAGGGGAGGAATACCAGGCTACGCCCGCCGCTTGGGTTGAAACCTGGCTGCATTCGGTACTTGTGTGACCTTGGGAAAGTGACTTAACCCTTGTGTGCCCGTTTCCCCACTTGTCAATGCGGTGTGAGGATTAGCCAACACAGGAAAAGGAGGCACCCACACCAGCATAAAGGTGTGGCATTACTGCTGAGAGTCAGACCAATCTTCACGGGAGGAGACACAAGGCCAGTTCCACTTTGTTTTGAGGCCTCTTGCTACTGTGAAGCAAGTGCAGCAAGAAGCTGGACTTAAGCCGCAGTATGCGTCTATTCTAAGTTCCCTGGATAATTCTTCTTGAGCTGAAGATGCTCAACACTTTGGCTTCCTCCAATCGGAGATGGAGGACGAGGAAGCTGCACGGAGGAACAGCGTTTTGGGAGCTGCAGCAGACTGCTCCGGGTGGAAGCGGGCACTGTGTAGTTACCAGACACTCAGGCCACAGACACTCAGGCAGGTCCTGGGGCCACCTGCCTGCTGCCTGGGACAGTCTCTTTACTGCACCCCAGCTCCCGGCGTGACCTCTCCCACTGGGAGGAGTCACAGACCCCAGCTAGTGGATGAGGCCACTAAGGAGCACAGCGCACACGACCTGCTGGAAGGGCCATCAGGCCGCCTCTCACGGCTTCTCAGCAACAGCCTCGGTGAGCTCCCCACACAGAAGGTGGGTCCCCTAAGACCCCACATTCCCATTCTCAGTGAGTCTACTCTTCTTTTTAAGACACTTCAAGAATCATTTTAAATGTGATGAGGGCTCAAATAATCCATTTCCACAAACTGTGATCCAATACACAGATGGCTGAAAGAGGTGGCCGGTATGAAAACACCTCTACTTCTGCCCGAAGGGGAATTAAATGAGTTTACAGAACGCTGGGTGGGGCAGGCCCTGCCATGGTGGCCGCACAGCAGGCTCCAGCCTGGAGCTGCCAGCGAGGCCTGCCCACCTGTAGCCAGTGTCCAGGGCGAGGCCGCCCGACCCTGGCGGTGACTCGAGGATGGTCAGAAGCAGCTGGCCCAATACCATGGCTACACTTAGTTTCATGATGAGCATTAAAAGTCACATGTTCTTTATTTAGTCCATATAATACACCATTTTTAGAGTTTTTAAAAATTAGATAAAAGAGCATATTAAATGGCAAGTGTATGAAGTTTCTCTTCATAAACAATGTCAAAACAAAAAGTTTTGAGTTACAAAATGTTAAAAAATATGTAGGTACTTAACATTTCACTAAAGCATAAAGGTACAGATATTTTCTAAAGAAAAATAATTGTGCCACTTACCTATTTTTGCTGTTTCTATGAACTTTTTTTATTCTGTACATAGGACATTTTGTACAAAATATGAAGTCTACATTTTTATTATTACCATAAAACAAAGATACAATGTATGTACAATATTAAAAGGAAGCCATACTACAGCCACACTAAAAAGACACTCGGAATAGTGACATTTCTGATGTACATCTGGGAAAGAGTGAAGATGCCAAACGCGGAACTTTATGAAGAAAAACAGTCACCAGTTTATTTTCAATGTAGTAATTTTGAAATCAGTTGGTACAGAATAAACAATGTATCTATATAATAATATATAAGTTGAACAATTAGCACAGGGCATCTGAATACTAACTAGGAAAACTTTAATAGGCCAAAATATTAAATAATACTCTTGTCAAAGAAAATTAGTTTCTCTCAAAACGCTTTTTCCCTTTTTTTGGTGAATGTTTGTCTTCAATAAAGAGCAGAAATAAAACCTAGACAAAAGATGTTCTTATACTTTGAGCTTTACACAATCACCCAAACATTGAAATGTTGCTATTTTTTTTTAGGGCAAAAGAGTCTTCCAGAAAGCTCCCTCACAAACACACTGAACATCCCAAATCAAGGCTATCTGAGCATCTGTCAGCCAAAGACGGAAGTTCAAACAATGGTATATCAAAATACAGAAGATGCTGCTTTATACAACAAAAAAGCACCCTTTTTCCCTCAAAAGGAGAAGGCATCTAATCTTTTTTTAATTGCAAATTTCATAATGGTAAAATGGATAGATGCTTGTCAAGTTTCTCAGGAAGTGTGTCTGCTCACGCAGCGGGCTTTCCACGCGCGGCCGGGCACTCCGAATCCAGCATCTCTGCTCCACACAGGAAGTCCCTCCCCCCAAGACACGGGACATACAGGCCTGTGGACTTCAATGGCAGGGAACAATAGTCTGCTTTTACAATGTTTGAGTGGATACCAAGACCTTGAATAGAAGACAGATCCTAAAAGAAGCGACGTTGCATCTGTTATGCAGAAAGACATTTTACATCAGTTATATAATCGTATGCTGGAGACAAAAAACACCCTAGAATCATCACTTGCTTAGGAGAGCAGTACACATCTCAAATAGCTTTCAAGCAGATAAATAAGTCAAGATACTGGCCACCCTGAGAAAAATAAAACATCCAAAGCACTAAGTGTAAAGAATGTTCCTCGTGCTATTCCATCGAAAACGAGAAGCTCAACACATGCAAGGGAGTCTGGGAAATATATAGCAGCGTTTGATGAAAACTCAGACACGGCACTTTCCTCAGAAGTGCATATAATGTGTGCTCGTTTCAACACAGGGGTCACCTGAAGCCATCCTCCTGTCCCTCCCTCCCGGCTCTCAGAGCCACGTCACACACTGGTGAGCGCCACGCCAGCGCCTGGCGTGCACGGGGCTGTTTGCCCAAAGGCAGCTGCAGGCTGCATCCGGCCGAGAACTGGCTCAGCTCACAACGTTCTCCTTCTGGCCGCCTATCCAGTGCGGAATTCTGTTAATTCAAGAGCCTTGCTAAAGGGCAGCAACGTGTGAGGACAGAAAAAGAAAATCTGCAAACCCAAAAATGAACACATTGTTTTAAAAATCCCAATTCTAGCCAAGGGAGGCAGAAAGAGCTCTTTGTAAAACCAGCTTCTCCTATGAGCTTCCTCCTGGAGTCCTGGTGCCAGACCAGCGACGGGCAAATATGGCTTTAGAAACACATGAAAGAAGTCAGACATGATGTACATGTCGCTGCTCAGAGCGAAGGACACCTCGGAGAAACAGCGGCTGAGGATTGTCACTTTTCCTGCGTTAGAACAATGACAGCAAAAAAATCATTTAATGAAATTGAAAAAAAACACACATCAAAAACAGAAAGACATTGCTGGTGTAAACAATCACATGGAAACAACTTCAAAGGTTGTTAAGTCTTAAAAATATGAAAATTTTTAAAGTAATTTTTTTTAAGTGTTTCTTTGATTCGAAAAACATTGATACTCTCGGAACTATTTATTTCCAACAATCACCAATTCCATGTGGGTAGAAGGTGAAGGTGATGACCAGGGTGCTGCCTTAGCTCTGATGTTGGCTCGCTGTCATGTTTGGGACCGTGGCGGGGACACGGTGGCCGGCTCTGCCTGGGTCTGAGTCACCATTGTTTGAACTCCTAATCTCGAGCTGGGGACGGAGTGCGTTACTGCCTACAGGACGGGGGCGAAGAAAGCTCTGACTCTGAGTGTAACTGATTTGTATGGCACAAAAGTATGTGTTTTTCTACAGAATCCGGGACCGGGCCGGCGGGCGGGCGGCTAGCGGCCATCCTGGGACAGCAGCTCGTCGGCTCTGCAGTGAGCCTCCAAGGCGTTCTTGGTGTGGAGGTCCTGAGGCAGCTCGGACTTGCGGCGCACCAGAGCCCGGTCCTTCTTCAGGTCCTTCTGTGCCTGGAATCACAAACGCAGGGCGGTGACCACAAAGCACACTGGCCCACACACCCACGGCCCCTCTGCTCTCTGAAGGACAGGCAAAGAGGCAAGTCTTTCCTCCTGTGGCAACTACCCCAAAATGCCACGTCTATTAAAAATAATCTCATGACCAGTGTGAAGGATGGTGTGCACGCAACTGTGTTTTGTCTCTTAAAATGTTTAGGTTTGCCCAGATTATGCAATACCTCCGGTTTTGGTCAAGCCCGTGGCCACTGCGTTAACAGCAGTAATTTGGAAACATGACAGTAAACCATGTGACTCATCCAAACACCATGTATTATACATGAAGAGGACTGTCGGTTAGAAACTTGAGCCTGAACCAAGCCTTCCTTCCTATCTAATGTCTCCATCAAAAAGAAGACATTATGTACAGAGGATAAGTCACTTGGTGATGGTGAACAAGCGTCTACCAGAGAAAATATGTGTTAAGCCAATAATTTGACAACAAAAAAGAATATAACGGTACAACTTCTCATTAGTTTCCAGATACCTTACAGGATAGCCTGTAAAGTATACTTAACTGTAATGAAAAGTTCAAGGACCTGCGGAAGTCATACATGAAATGTTCTTATTTTTTTGCAGAGCTAACATGTCTCAGGGCTCTTTGCAAATTTACCTACGGGAACAGCAATACTGTCAGAGTTTAGAAAAAATTTTGTGTGACATCATTGTAGATGATTTCTAAAATGTTATTTGAATATCAATATTCATTCGTGGTAAAGGAAGGCGTTTTGGTTTCTCCGGGAAGCTGGTGTAAGAGGCTCAGAAAAGCCACTCACGTCAGAGACAGAGGGGCACCCGCCTGTTGCGTCACAGTGCTTGTAAGAAGCGGATTTGCCTTTGAACCTTGGGAAACTCAGAGGGAAATTCCACCTGAGTTTTATGTCCGCTTCAGGGTGTGCTGTAAAAGAACGCAGAGCAAAGCCAAACAGAACCAAGACTCTCTTTGCTTGGAGGATTCCTGACTGCTGGGACAGGCATTCCAGGGAGAAAAAGGCAGCAGCAAACCCCTTGGCGCTGGAGCAGCAGTGCAAACTGGGAACACAACCCGCGCTCTGAGAAGAAAGGGCAGAGGTGTGCTGGCGCAGTGGGCTGCCCCTCGCAGGCTTGGTAAATTGATGTGTAAAGCGAGAGTAACTTCACAAACCGCACGGGGAAAAGGTCAGAGGAACAGGAGCGGGAGAGCAGGAGGCACCATGCAGGTGGTCACCTAGGTGAGTAACGCTTGGTGGAGGGGATGTGCTGGCGGACATGCTGATTGTGGATGGAACATACAAGACACACGGAACAGACAGACAGACAGATGGAGAGGCATGACCATGACATCTGCTATGGGTGCGGCTGGAGGACACGCCTGCTCCTCAGCACAGGGCAGAGCTGAGAGACTGCATTACACAGTGAGTGGTCACAGAGCATTGTGCACGGCTTTACTACTCAAATAAGGGCAGAACTAATAGACATTTCTTAAGGGACCAGATTCCTTGGTCCTCACCGTCACAAGCTGGAATGACAGGGAAAATACTTCATGTCACTTCTTTCCCTCAACAGAAAGGCCTTAACACTCTATAGATTGAATAAAGAATACCTGCACTTCCCACCTTCCGTCTTTCTACACCTTCCTGATTTGCATGGCTGGCACTGCTTTTCTCCCGACCGACTGTTAAAATGAGAATTGTAAACATTTTAAATGTCTCTGGTAGAAATGTCATTCACATGAAATTTACTAGTTTTCTTAGGATGCTCTATATGGAATTATACAACTTCAAAAGAAATGCGAATATGGTCTGACAGGTAAGCATACAGTTGACTTCCTCCACAATATTCCAGGTACCTCCACTGCCTCAGAACTCCCCCGCCTCCAATGCTGTCATTTGCCTCATGTGCCACCCCGAGCCAGCACTGGAGTCATTTTTAGCTTCTTGTGTCAATTTGGTATCCAAATCACCCACGTATATTTTCCCTCGGTATCTTCTCTTTGCTTTAACAACAGTGTTTTTGAGAATTTTAGGAATAGGACTGCAAACATTTTCAAGTTAAGAATGGTCTATCATATCGAATATTATACCTAAGAGACTGCACTAAAAATATTTTCATCTAGATAGATTGGGAGGGGGTTTCAATCGATCCATACAAATCTGTAAATCTTAAAACTGGGGAGTGGTAATCTTCCAACCTTATTCTTTTATTGGCATTAATTTGGCATTCTGGGTCCTCTGTATCACCATGAATTTTAGAAGCAGCTCATCAATTTCTAAAAAAAAAAAAGTCTGCTGGAATTCTGACGGAGATTGTGTTAATTTGGCATCTTAGATGGTATTGAGTCTTTCAACCTGACCCATAAAGGAATGGATGGGGGAATAATTTTTGTAAGAATGTCAATCACACAAAACACCGAGTCATGTAATCTAATGTCAAGGGTCATGAAAACAAACATGTTACAGAGGAGGCCCTCAATCATAAATCACACCATTATGTATTATGTTCAGTACATTCTGGATGCTGTTTGATCTTTTCCTAGCTTTAATTAACAACTCAGAGAATGTACTGAAAGGAAACATTCTCCAACCCTATGTGAAAGAACTGGCTCGTAAATCATGTTTCCTTCTCAGCGTTGTATGGACTTAAAAACGAACGTGTGGTTGCAAGTTCACAGGCAGGCGAGGCTCCCTGGGCGAGGGCACTGGCTCAGTGCCTCTGCATGTCTGCACGTGACAGGCTGGCTGTCCTGTCCTTAGCACGGGCTAAGCCGTAGAACCAAAATGGTAATAAAAAAGAGGACCTCAAATTCCTTCCAAACAAAAAAAAAAAATCAAGTAAGAAAATTAATACTCCCACAAGTGGAGAAAAAATAAAAGAATTTATGCTTTTTATTAAGTCTATTTCATTGATAAAAATATTAACATGAAGAAATTATGATATGCAATTAGATTAAGTAAAAAAATAAGTTACTAGGGGCACAGTGAATTTTACCACTGTATTTTTATATTTCCAAGATTTGATGAGCTGCAAGAAGCACGAATTCACCTGTCTTTTATTTTAACCTACAGCCAGGAGCTGGCTGGCGGGAGTGGTGTGACCGTGGTCAGCATGCGCACCTCCTCCTGCAGTGCTGAGAAAAAGAGTCCAGACCAGGGCCACGTCAAAAAGTAAAAAGCAATAGCAATAGGTGAAATTAATTTTAATGTTTTATTTGACCCAGTATAATATTAAAAATATTAAAATTTCAACAAATAATCAATAATAAAAAAATGACGGACTGTTTTTACATTCTTTCCCTCACAGTAAGAATGGGAATTCCCGAGTTTGAGTGACGGCACACACGGTGCTGATGGCCACATTTCAGGCTCAGCCATGTGGCTGGGGGTTAGGACAGCACAGTCTACATGGTCTGGATCGTATGTTCTGGGAAGCGTCTGATCCTATCTGACCAGGTGGGGAATACAACTTACTTGAATTAAAATCAAACATTATCCCCCGCCCCCGTCTGTTTAACTGTGTTCCAAATGACATGAGCACTTAGGAACCACTTGCACATGGCACACACCTCAGCCATCAGGCTGTCAGTGGTGATACTCCAGCCACTCAATGTTCACGTGTCAGAATCCCAGTGCTGGTGTCTTTGGAAACTTGCTGGTGGGAGGGAATTAAAGTTCAAAGTCAGACCCAACCCAATCCCCAGCCCAGCCAGGACCACATCAGCTTCCGTGGACAGAGAGGCACAGCACCGCAGGCTCTGCATGCAGGCGGCAGCTAGTGCGTCACTTCTTTGTAGCCCACATTGCATATACTGTATCCCTGTTCAGTAATAAGAGTCCATGTTTGGACAGTATAGAGTGGAAACAAAAGCACTTGAGTGAGGGAGGACGTGTGGTGGTTCCGACAGAGCCCGCAGCCTCGGGAAATCCCAACAGAGCCCGGCCCTGCACAGGCCTCACAGGCCCTTCGGTCCTTCGCGGGGAGGGAGGCGAGGCTCCACCCTGGTGTCTGGTGCTGAGCTTGGCCCTAACTATGACTAATGGGGACCAAGAGAAGTTGGAGAGGGCAGAGGGAAACGAGTGGCAAGACATTACTGCGAAGCTTTTGACTTTTTGCTCAAGTTAACAATGAAAGACATTTAAGGGTGGGGATTGCTGTTAAGATAAACGAGTAGACAAATTGCAGGCACATACGTCATTCTTAAAAATTGTTTCTAGTAAACTATCACTGAGCTGTATAGATACATGTTTCGTATAAGTTTACCCAAGTTTAATTTTTACGTCTGGCTCACAAAGACTGCCGGACAGCACCTCACCTACACGATCATGTGCAGCTCAAAGCAAACCTACGGCGAGCGCCCCTCAGCTGAGCTCTGCGCAGTTTACCTGGCGGGCCTCTTCGTTCACTGTCTTTCTCAGCATCTGCACATCTTCAAATAGGGGCCCATCTGTCTCCATTGCAACCGGGATGCTCATGGTGCTCGCTTGACTATGTATTGAATACTGCAATGCAAAGTGTGCAATCACTCTCTGTTAGCGCCTGGGGGCCGACGCCAGGGTCTCCTCCGGGCTGGGCACGATTCCCACCAACACTCCCAGGGCCCTCTGCTGCCTCCACCTGCTGCTGGCCACCTGGAGTGCCTACAGCTGGTCACATGCAGAAGGAGGACAGAGCTGTGTCAGTGGTCGCTCCACCATCCTGGCCCCTGCCTCACAGTGGCCTTTGGTGTCCTGATCCCACATAAGCAGTGAGGGCACAACATGGATTGGTCACCAGGGCCTGTTTCACACTGAAACCGCCACCTCTAACCTCCCAATCTTTGCATTGCTGATCTGTGAGGTGCACCCTTTTCTCTCCCACATTCCTTTCTGGATCCTTTACCCCATTTTCCTAACTGGCTTCAGCCCCACCATGGACCACATCCTTTGCCCACACCCAGAACGCACAGCTGCTGCCCTGAGCTGGCACTGCAGGGAAGGACCAGTGCACCCCCAAGTCCAGGAATCCTGTCCACGGGGCCCAGCCTCACAGGCATCCCAGCAGCTCCCTTGTCACCTCCCCACTGGCCTGGGCTCTGGGCTTGGCATGGATTAGCACTCACAGCAGAGGGTCTTTCTGCTGTGAGTGCTATTCCAGGGGCTTCCCATGAAGTGGGTGCCGTGGCCCATTTGACGAGGATTGAGACTCCGAGTAGGCAGTGAGGGGCAGCTGTTGCCCCTCTATCCCACACCCTCCACGCTTTGCCTGGGGGGGGAGGTGTCCCCTTGCCCTCCGGCCTCTAACCTCCTCCCTCCCACCACAGCGCGCTTCCAGGAATGACGCTTGGTGTCTTTCTCATCTCCCCTCCCCCTCCAGTTCACCAACCTGCTTTGAGCCCTCAGCTCTGTGATGGGACCTCAGCCACAGGCTGTCAGTGGTGCCATCTCTTGGTTGCTAAGCCACTTTGTGGTTTCTATCCTCCTGGACCTGTCCACCGCCATCCCTGAAGCTTCCCCTCCTACCTCCCTGCCGTCCCTGGATGACAGTGCTTGCCTGCCTCACGCGCCCTGTGGGATCTCGACCCTACCTTGTTCACCGAGCCTTCCATGTCCCCCTGAACCCTGTCCTTGAAATGGCCGCTCACCCACTCACTCACTCGGGCCACACCTCGCTGTTTCTTCAACACCAGTGGGCTCCCGGGCCCCCTCATTGCCCAGCAGAGTGAGGTGCCCAGGCCTCCAGGCCCTTCTGCTGCTGCCAGACGAGTTTCTGAATGGCAAGTCTCACTGGGCACCTTGCTCTTCATGACTCTGACACCTGCACACATTTCTGGAAACGAAGCTCAAGCTTCTGTCCTGTCTCCAGCTTTAGCCTGGAATGGAGCAGCCAGAGCCCAGAGGCCACTGGTGTTGAACAGCTCGGCTTCCCTGCTGTCCTCTCCCTGCCTTGAGTCTCTCCCACAGATTCAGAATGGGTAAGCCCTGGACGATGGCCTCCCAAACCCGCACTTCTCCTCACGTGCCTCCCGCCATCAGCACTTGACGTGTTACACTCTGACCACTGTGCCCTGTTCTCATCTTTGTACTGGGAAAATTCTATAATAAAGACACAGCACAGTGCCTCTCAGGGCCACAGCCGCTGGGCCAGACCGAAGGGACAACTGGCACACTCAGGCGGCACGGGGCCTGCGCTGAGCCAGCATCAGCTCTGGCTCCTCTGAGCGGAAACGGAGTGTGCTCCACGGAATCTGGCAGGTCCTCGCAGGGCCCAAGGCAGAGAAAAGTGTCAACCAGGTGCCATGAAATCTTCACAGCAAAACCAACGTCCCAGGGCAGGACAGTCCTTACTAGGGATAGACCCCTCCATCGAGGCTCAAGGTCACAAAGGGTGAAGGGTCGCACACCAGAGCTACACTAAGAGTTTAGATGCCCGTCATCACTTCCCATGAGGCCCATGCAAGTCAGGGAGAAATAAGTAGTCAAATGACATTTATGTTAGAACTCTTCACCACCTTATGATTTAAAAAGTTAAATCATGGATGACAATAAAACCCTCATGAAGCAGCCACCACTGCTAGGTCAGACAGACTGAGAGAACCCTTTCCCAGGGTCCCACGGCGCACACATTGGTGAGAACTCCTTATACATGGTTTGAAAAAAACAGGGACTCCTGGAAGACTTCTTGATACATGCCAGTAAACAGACAGTGAATTACTGAGAATCCATCTTAAAAAAAGGAAGCTATTAAATCAATTCTCAAAAAGGCAGATTTGAGATCAAGAACCAAGTTTCAAAACCCCTACTATTTTTGTTACAGAGATAAGAAATAAATTATTTACTCTTTGCTGTGAATGGCAAGCAGTGATTAGAATTCAGAAAGATATTCTCTCTAGAGAATTAAAACAAGTCCAAAACCCTGATTTCTAGCCCTGAGATTACTCATGAAGTATTTTCCGTTTGCACACAGACAGGTCTGTTGGGGTCGAGCCACAGATGGTGTTGACACAGAGATGAGGAGTCAGGACAGTGCTCAGACCAGAGTGCGGGTCCCCAGTGAGTGCACTGTCCTGGCCCCGGAGACATTTGTAATGGAACAGAAATGTGATGTCAGAAAGCTCAGAGTTCAGAGTGATCCGCACTACAGAAGGAAAACCCGTTACAGCTCTGAGGTGAAACAGCGTGGTAACACAATCACCAGCACTCCCCCTTCGTAATGCTAAAGTTCGTTCATAAACTTCCCATGAAGTTTTTTCTATATTTCAGGTAAAACCAATTAGATCAGACACTCTGATTTGTACATATGTTACATGTTTCCAGAGTGCTGGTTTCCAGTATGTGACAATTAGGGTGAGGGTTCTGACAGTCCAGCCGGGACTGACTGCCCTTTGCACTTACACCTGCCCAGATTTATGGTTTTCCTGTGCTTTAAAACAAATGTATTTTAACCTTACTTTCAACATAAATTCCATTATTTTTTCATGTATTTTTACTGATTTCAGAGAGGGAGTAAGGGAAATGGAGAGAGAAATAGAAATATCAATGATAAAAGAGAATCATTGATCAGCTGCCTCCTGCACGCCCCCTATTGGAGATTGAACCAGGGCATGTGCCCCTGGCTGGAATCAAACCTGGGACCCTTCATTCTGCAGGCCGACACTCTATCCACTGAGCCAAACTGGCTAGGGCATAAACCCCATTCTTTAAAGTAGATACCCATAGCTATCTAAGTTAAGTACTATACAGTTCCACAGTAATCTTGCTTACTGGTAGAATAAGGCTGGCTGCTGGTGTTAGGCAGAATCAGAATCCACTTAAGAATGTCACTTAGTTTTCCTATGGCTCAAGTTTCTTGACTGTAGTTTTAGCAAAGGTAATACAAATCAATATGTGATTCTATGGGTAAATAGAACATATCTTTGTATTCATGTATTGCTTTTCATTCAATGTGAGAGATTTAAAAACTACACACCAACTTGGATAATAATTACTTTTGTGCCCCTCTCATCAAAGGGAATGGATGGTTTATCAGTTCATTTTACTGAACCTACTAGGATTTGGGGGTAAGTTGAGCAGCTCTCATAAAGAAAAAAAAATATATATATAATGGAACAGAAATATAATATATATACACATATATACATATATACATATATACATATATATATATATATATATATATAAAATATTTTTTTTCTTTTTTTTTTCTAGGCAGTTGGAGAAAGCCTGAGAATTCTCATTGTGGCAAAGTTCCACACAAACGCTTTTCAGGAAGCACAGGCCCCACAATGACCGCCAAACCGTGTGGTGACTGACAGGGGAATGGCTGCAGAGACAGTGCTCCAGGCGCCCGGACCCGCAGACAGAACGCCAGAGGCCACAACTCCAGCCCAGGGCCTGGCACCCTGGGAGCCAGCCCAAGAGTTAGTGCTACGTAGAATACGGCTCCACGGCTGGCCGCTCTGGAAGGCAGGGCCCCTGTGCTCACCAACAGAGCGAGAGGGAGCTCCTGGCTCAGAGCAGGAGCTCACATGGCAGAAGCCAGGCAATTCTTTGAGGACAAAAGGCTCAGCCACAGACACCTAATTTTAGGGAAGAGGACATAAACTTTATACTTAATCTATTCCAAATCTAATTTCTTTTAAAATTTGATATTAAAGAGAAGGAAATCTAGTTTAAGTCACAGTATCTATATTTGCAAGAGAAAGCAAATTACAATCTTGGTCCAAATAAAGCCTGTAGCCTGGATTTTACCACAATATGCATCAATTTCATATATTATTTTAAAAGCAGAAGAAAACGTGTCAATCCTGTGGTAAAAACTTTTTGGGGCAAACGAAGTACTTGTACAAAAGTTGGAAAGTATCTTTATTATGGATATTTTCTTCTTCTTTTTTAAAATATATTTTTGATTTTTCACAGAGAGGAAGAAGAGAGTTAGAAACATTGATGAAAGTTAGAAACATTGAATCATCGATCAGCTGCCTCTTGCATACCCCCTACTGGGATTTGCCCGCAACCAAGGTACATGCCCTCGACCGGAATCGAACCCGGGACCTTTCAGTCCGGAGGCTGACACTCTATCCACTGAGCCAAACCAGTCCCGGCTATTATGGATATTTTCATAAATAATATTAGTGAACATGATTCCCCTCCTTCCCATGACGAAGCCACAGGCCTAACTTATAAAAACATTCTGTCAAGCCTTAGAAACATTACTCTCTTTTGTAGTACCTGGGGGTTTGCTTTGGCTAGATTTTCTATTTTAACCCATGCTTCTTCTCGTTCTTTCATTTTTAGCTTCTCTCTGAAAAACAGTAAAATGTCATTGGTATTAGAGAAATGAATTAAATTCAAGAAACCGTTAAAGGGGAAAACACTGAATAGACCTGTCTCATTCACAGTGAGGATTACAATACATGGAGCATGAAAAAATACAAAAACAACAAGACTTAGAGGAAAAAGAACAAAATAAATACTAAAACTTCAACATGTCCACCAATAATGAGTCACATGACCTTCAGTTAATCACTGAACTCAATTTTTCTGAAAATCCAGAAAATGTGCTACAAGACCTTTAAGTTCCCTTTTAGAAATTGATACTCTGTGAGATGGTGTGCCATCAGCAAAGCCGTATGTTTAAATATTTCACATCTGAACACTGTGTTCGCTGAGCTCAGAAGGGACCAGGCAGCCTAAGAAGGGACCAGAAAGCCCCTGTGCCCTGCCTGCTGTTTACGATCGTCTCATGTGTTTATACTTGGCTGCCTCTCTCCACGCTGCCCCGAATAAACCCCAAAGACAAGGGTCTTGTTTGCTTTACTCACTGCTGGGCTGCTAGAACCTAGGACAGGGCCTGGCATGCAGGTAAACACTTCCATGCTGTACACAGAACTGACCACCAGCTATACAGACTGCAAGGTGAGTTCATTCAGTCAAGTTTATCTGCCTGAGCCAGTTTCAAGGGACAAGCCAAGAATAAATTCTGCCAATAGTTTATACTGGACTCTGAAGTGGGGTCTAACTAGTAACCACCGGGACAGTCAATGCCTCGTCATCAGACTGTCCCTAGGCAGCGCAGGGCCCTGGTTCTGTGGACACAAGAGAGAGTTCAGAGAACGCCTGCAGCATGCACGTTACCACATTAGAACTAAGTCCTGTGGAGAGGAAGATTCTGGCTCTCTCATACAAACCTTACAAAACATAACTCAAATGCCTGCCTAATGAACATGAAAAGTTACTGCACATTACAGCCGGTAAGGGTCCCCGAGAAAAGCAAAAATTCTGAAAGTTAAATAATTAAACTAGTAGCATAATGGAGGAAATAGCTGACTTTAAATGTGTTCTCTGAAAATAAGTTATCATAACCAAGTTTTTATTTGCTTTCCAAGTATGAAAAGATTGATTTTGCTTTAAAGTGAAAGATAACATGTTAGGACAAACTGATGCTTGAGGTTTATTCAGGGTTAAGGAAAAAAACCCTTGAAAGAGTAACTTTTGAAAAGAGCCACTTACTTCAGCTTCTCTGCTTTAAACTGTTGAGTGCAGTCATCGAATAGTTTTTGGTTCATTTCCATGAAGAGTTTCAGTGCGTTGTATATCAAGCCGTGTATTGTCCTAGAGATAAAACTCATGTTGAAACTCAGAATGCATGATCTTTTTTACCCTCTCCCTCCTCCTGTGCTGCAATCTATTTCCATCCAAACTTATCAGGCTGTCTCAATACTCATTTCACAAGTTTCCTGCACTTTAAAGTAAAGAAGCTGATCCTTTTGATTCATTTGTTTCTTTTCTTTAAAAAGAAAAAAAAAATTTTTTTTTATTGATTTCAGCGATAAAAAAGAAGGAATTCTCATCATTTGAGGAACCTGGATGGAATTGGAAAACATCATGCTGAGTGAAATAAGCCAATCAATGAAAGAGAAACACCACATGACTTCACTCATTTATGGATAATAAAGAACATTCTAAACTGATGAACCAAAAGATAGATATAGAGACAGTAAAGCAACAAGCAGACTGTCAAATTACAGCGGGGAGGGGAGGGAGATATAGGGGAGATAATAGATCAACCAAAGGACTTGTATACGCATATAAGTACAACCAATGGACATAAAACTCTGGGGAGGGAGGCTATGTATGGGGGGGGGGGCAATGTTAAAATATGTACACAAATAATAATTAAAAAAAAAAGAGAGTGGGCTAGAAACATCAATGCTGAGAATCATTGATCAGCTGCCTCATTGCGCTCTGCTGGGGATCGAGCCCGCAACCAGACATGTGCCCTGAACTGTGACCTCCTTGGTTCATGGGTCGACCCTCAACCATTGAGCCACACCAGCCAGACCATTTGTTCCTTTCTTTTTTGTTTTGTTCCTTTTCTTACAGTCCGCCATGCAGCCTGTAACCTCCTTCGGGAGCCAAAAGCCACCTTACTTGGAAACTGAATAAAAAATGTTGAAACTTGAACAAGTGTAACTAAGATAAGCTTAATTATATAGGAGACAATAACAGAAGCATTTTATTTCCTATAAACGTCCGTTTCCTTTCCATCTTCTTCACCGAGGAAAGAAAAATTAATTTTAATAATGCCTATAGAGCTTTGGTAGGTGGAACATAAAACTGCCACAGAGCTGCTTAGTCAAGCTGAGCTGCGGGCTCTGACACACAGGAGGGGAGCCCAGCTGCTCCGCGTCCCAGCGGAGCCCCGTGACTCAAGCCCCAGCTGCCATCTGTGGTGCCACATCAGCGACCCTCCAGTGATGGCAGAGAACTGCGCAGCAGAGCCTTGCAAACCAAGGAATTGTGAGCAACAATAAAATAGACGTTAAACCAAAACCCTAACCAAAAACTTTCAAGTCTTAACTACTTTTTAATTCACCTTATAAAAAAACCAAATCATAATTAGACAGCACTTAGAACCTTTCTTCCTTGGCCCCGGGCAGGAATCATGCTCCATCATGTACAGGAACTTGGTTATCACTTGCTAAACTCAATTAAAAAAAATGGGCCCAGCCTGTGGTTTAGGGCTGACATATGAGGTCATGGTTCGATTCCTGGTAAGGGCACATGACCTAGTAGGGGACATGCAGGTGGTGACTGATCAATGATTCTCATCATCTGTTTCTTTCTCCCTCTCAAATCAATAAAAACATATAAGAAAAGTAATAAAAAAAGAAAAAACCTACAAAGAGGTTGTTAAAAGTCAACATATTTAACAATGACTAGACTACCCCAGGACGATTCCAGCCCCAAGACTGCAGTAAGCGGTCTTGGTGTGGTCAGCATGACGACCTGTTAGCTTCACCTTAACTAACCATCAGAGCAAGGTGAAGGCCACCTGCAAAGCAGAGTGTTTTGTGTGCAGGCACGCCTAGATGATATGGTGGGTTTGTTTCCAGACCACAACCATCGAGCAAGTAGTCATCTTTTTGCTGGAGGAGGGTTTTGCCTTCATCTTTGTTGTTAATCCTCGCCGAGGATATTTTTTCCATTGATTTTTAGAGAAAGTGGAAGGGGAGGAGGAGGAGAGGGAGAGAGAGACAGAAAAACATTGATGATTGGTTGCTTCCTGCATGTGCCCCAACAGGGCCAGGATTGAATCCTCAACCCAGTATATGTGCCCTTGGCTGGGAATCAAACTTGCCACCCTTTAGTGCTTGGGCTGATGATCCAACAACTGAGCAACACTGGCCAGAGCCTGCCTTCCAAGTGTAAAAAACACATTGTGAAGTGCAATAAAGCAAGGTGTGCTTGTTTTCTAACATTGTGTTGATTGGTCATCACAAAACACTATGCTGGGTGACAATATTCTCTTACTTTTTGGAGAAAATCAGTCCATTTCTGCCCTTTCCTGAAAGGACAGGAGAAGCAGAAAAAATGTGAGATTCCTCAGGCTGGGTTTGGATCACCTGCTCTACAGGCAGGAAGCACAGTGGGTGGTTCTAGGTCACAGAGTGTGTGTGACAGCAGAACCCGAGGGTCCCAAGGATGGAGTGGCCACTGCCATCCTGCCGGGGCTGTGCCCCGGGAGCTGTGACGGGACCTTTGACTCCTCTGGAGGGAACTTAACAAGATGCTGCTACTCACAAGGCCAGGGATTGCGGCTGTGAACATGTGGGCACCGGGGGTAAGGAGGCAGATTAAAGCCATGCTTCCACTTAACTACAAGTCCAATAAGAAGACATCAGTATCTCGTTCCTTAACTGATACTTCAGACTTGGTTTGAAGGATGAGCAGAATATGCAAACGTAAAAAACATACAGATACTATACCTCAGTGGTTCTTGACCTTTTTAATGTCACGACCCTTTAATATAGATCCTCATGTTGTGGTGACCCCCAACCATAAAATTATTTTCACTGAGAACCGCTAGCAGGGTCGCCTAAGACCATCGGAAAACACAGATATTTACATTATGATTCATTAACAGTGGCAAAATTATAGTTATGAAGTAGCCACAAAAATAATGTTATGGCTGGGGGTCGCCACAGCATGAGGAGCTGTGTTAAAGGGTTGCGGCATTAGAAAGGTAGAGAACCACTGCTACCTGAAACTCATAGAAATAATGTTCAATGCAAACTGTAACTGAGAAATAAAAACAAAACAAATAAAAACTCGTAGATGTGTTGCCAAAACAGGTTTGGCTCAGTAGATAGAGCGTCAGCCTGCGGACTGAGAGGTCCCGGGTTCGATTCCGGTCGAGGGCATGTACCTTAGTTGTGGGTATCTCCCCAGGGGAAGTGTGTGTGCAAGAAGCAGCTGATCGATGTTTCTAACTTTCTATCCCTCTCTCTTCCTCTCTGTAAAAACTCAATAAAATATATTTAAAAACAACAACAACAACAACAAAAAACACGTAGATGTGACGATGGCCAGCCTGCTTACTTATTCCAGTGGGTCTTTGAATTGCGGTACAAGGACGGGAACATGATGGGCAGGATCTTGGCTGCGTTGTCACTGATGAGGCTCATAATGTACTCATTGTTCCAGTAATACAGCGCTCGCTCTGCCACCTGGAAGACAGGAAGTGCATGCTTTGTTCCGGGTCATGACTAAAATCATTCAGCAAATATCCCTCCTACTACACCTGTGAGTAGGATAATGAAGTATACTGCCTTAGAAAATGATTATTTTTACAAATTCACAAAACCCTAGACCAGCGACTGTTAACCAGCGTGCCTCAGGAATTTTTAAAACATACAATTCTGGACTATTCAGTCAGGAGCATTCACCTCTTTTCCTTTAGATGGTAAACAAAAACAAGCAAGCAAGCAAGCAAACAAACAAACAAAACGGCCAACACAACAGTGGCCACCAGTGTGAATGCCTTGTCTTGATCCATAAATACTGGTATACAGGTCATATTATAGAGTTGCATTTTATTGGTCTTATCAGTTTGTAAAATATAAAAAAAAGTTACATCTGATTGGTTAATTCTTGGTACCAGAAATACTTATATACAAATGTCACTTTGGAGCAAAGAGGATAGGCAATTACTATTATCATCATTTTTTGTAAATCAACCAAAATTATATCTAATTTTTGTCAGATCAGCAAAAAATACATTTCTTGGTGTACCGCAGAATTTTGCAATTAGTCTATGTGCCACGAGATGTAAAAAGGTTGAAAACCGCTGTCCTCGGCTGTAACCCTAAAGAGCCTTCAGCAGAGGCAGATGGTTTCCTGGGCACCGAGAACACGGCACAGCTTATTCAACAGTCATGCGGACCCTGGCTGTATGCTGGACACAAGTCAAATAATCCTTCTGCCTCCTGCTGCCCATGCGCACACAGCTCAGCAGGGACGAGGCATCTGGTGGGTGACTTATTTAACCCATTAGAAGTGATACATCATGTGGTGGACAGCAGTGGGGCAGGGGACACAGAGTGCTGTGTGTGTGTAAACATGGTCATGGAGCAGGTCCTCGAGGGAGGTGAGGGCACTGGCTGAGGGCAGCGGGAGTAATTGGATGGAGGGATGGGATGGGCTGGGCAACATGTACACAGGTCACGTGGAGCTGTGCTGGCACATGTTCCTCCTCCGCTGGGTCACCAACTCCCTGAGGACTGAGGTTCTGCTCTTTCTGTGCTGAGATTTTTACCTTGTTCATGATCAATTTACAATGAATGTCTGTTCACGACACGAAAGGATGGGGTGACAGAGTAGCTGAATAAAGCCTCTGGGAAAACCTTTGAGGGTTTAAGGAAATCAGGAAAAGCGGAAAGTGGCTTGATTTAAGAATCCTAGTGACAAAAAACAGGACTATTAGGTTTTTCTAAAAGGTGAAGGGAGATGAATTTATATGATGTCAGAAACAAAGGGCTTTATGGAGAAAATTCAGAGCTGAAGGTTTTATCATCACAGTACCTATAACTATTCATTACTCAGTCAGTTGTGGAAAACAAGGTTTTATGCATTTTGGAACATGCTGAACACAAGGAAAGTTTTACAGAGAAGCCATTTAAAAACTTTTATTGATTTTAGAGAGGTGGGGGGGACAAAAAGAGAGAGAGAAAGAGAGAGGGAGAGGGAGGGAGGTAAGAAGGGAGAGAGAGAAGGGGGGAGATATTAACCTGTTGTTCCACCCATTTATGTGTTCACTGGCTGACTCCTGTATATGCCTGTAACCTTGGTGCGATACTCCAATCAACTGAGCCACCCAGCCAGGGCGAGAAGCCATTTTTTATTACTTTTTTTATTTTATTGTTCTTATTGAGAAATGTTGTCAGCGATGGGAACGAGATACTAAAGTACATTTTATTGAATTAAAGATTTAGCATCTTGCTGAAGCCGGTTTGGCTCAGTGGTAGAGCGTTGGTCTGTGGACTGAAAGGTCCCGGGTTCGATTCCGATCAGGGGCATGTGCGTTGGTTGCAGGCACATCCCCAGTAGGGGGTGTGCAAGAGGCAGCTGATCGATGGTTCTCTCTCATCGATGTTTCTAACTCTCTGTTCCTCTCTCTTCCTCTCTGTAAAAAATCAATAAAATTAAAAAAAAAAAAAGATTTAGCATCTTATTTTGAGGTGAGATTAAAGTGAAAACGTGATGTTTACCTTCACATCACATGATAAGCACACGTGAGTGGCCACACCCAGACACCTGTCACCCCCACAGGAGCCCCCCTTGCAGCTGCTCACCGCCCTCTGCACCCGCCATACCTGGAAATGAGGGCTGGAGACGCACTTGGCCAACTGCCGAAAGAGCGGCTCCATGACCTTGACAAATTCTGACGGTTCAATCACATCTAAAATCTCTTCTAACTCATTCAAGAACATGACTTCTTTTGGACTGTGAGTCTTTGGCCAGTATTTGAGCAGTGCCATGACCACCTATGGGAGAGAGAGAACACAGTGTGATGTCCATGGGGCCCCGACATTCGTTAATTAAATAAGGGTGTGCTTTTTCCCTTAGAGGAGAAATAGTGCCTCAGTCTGTTACTAGCTGAGTTTTTTATAATTAGAGGAACAGGTAAAGTTTTACACACTTTATTATTTTATTTTTAATCTTAAAAAATATATATTTTATTGATTTTTTACAGAGGAAGAGAGAGGGATAGAGAGTTAGAAACATCGATGAGAGAGAAACATCGATCAGCTGCCTCTTGTACACCCCCTACTGGGGATGTGCCCGCAACCAAGGTACATGCCCTTGACCAGAATCGAGCCCTGGGACCTTTCAGTCCGCAATCCGATGCTCTATCCATTGAGCTAAACCGGTTTCGGCTTATTTTTAATCTTTATTGATAAGAGCATTACAGGTGTCCCACTTCCCCCTCCACACGGTTCCCACCCTGCCCCAGACCTTTGCCATTCCATTGCATTTTATACACTTTAGCACCACAATTTTAATGTATGTGACCCACTCACTCTTCCTGAACCATTTCAGTGTTAGTTTCTTTAAAAAAGTAAAAACAAACCAAGAGGCAGTGAGGAGAGCTTAGAGAGAAAAGACTGATGGACAAACACAGAGCACATGAATTCTACATGTTTTAGTGTCGGAGTGGCCAGTTCTAAAATTTTTGGTGACACAGACACATGTTCAGAATCCATTTCTTTCTCATAATTGATTGTTCATATACATTTATACTCAAACTTGTGTGTGGTTATATATAGTGTTTTTCATGGTGCTAAAACATATCAAAGGGATGAAAATGAGATCGTCTTATTAGCTCATGCTTCATGAGGCTGCAGAGGGATCTGAGCTTGGGCCCACACTGCCTTCCGTGTGCAGGACCTTGGACTGGTCACCAATCCCTTGGTGCCCCAGAGCCTTCACCAAAGACCAGGGGTACAGCAACCTCTGTCCTGGGGCTGCTGTGGGGAGCAGACTAGGAAATCCACACAGCTGCCTGGGGACTGCTGGCCCGTAGGCGTGCGACGGTGTGGTCATAACGAGGACCCCACCTAGACAGCGCCCTTGAAGGCACATTCAGTCCCAGGCAGTGGCTCCCTGATCTGTGGATGACAGATGTTCCATTCCTTGCCCACGTCAGACAGATAGAGTTTCGGCTAGGCAATCTTTCTTTTATCATATTCCTATAGTTTCCAAGTTTCTGCCACGATCAGACCAGTAAGTATTAATGATGCTCTTAGAGGTTAGCCACCTTAAGTCTAAAACAGCACAACACCCCGAGCCAGCATTTACCTGAAAGCACATGTCCTTGAACGACTGTAACTTACTACTTGGAAGCTCTGATTAGCCTCTGAACCACCAGCCAACCGCTAGCGTTGGGACTGCTGTTAAGCCACCACAGTACCAGCTGCTAAGTCACCACAAGATCGGCTCGTGCGCACTGGCCGGTGGTCCGACCTCTAGTCATTTCCACTGTGGTTAGAGAACTGGTGGCCTCTGAACAGCACCCATATACAACGCTTCTGTTTTGACGCTCGTGGCATTTAGGTTTCTGGATAATCTTTGATATTATACTTTATGAAACTCTAAAATTTATAAAAAAGAAAGCACTCCTAGTTTGGACGTCTGACATAATTTACAACACAATTATCTTAAGAAGGAATTATTTTAAAAAATGCATCACTTAATGACTTTCCTCCTCCTTTTTGTTCAAAATAACTTAATAGACATTTATCAAGCACCTACTACACCTGCATGTATGGGACCTCTGTTAAGAGGACAGCAGGTGCACATCACTGCGCAGCCCACGGCTCCTAGTCATTTGACAAATGAAATTTTATAGGAGAAACACATTAATATTCGAGCTGCAGAACAACTGATGTATCTACTTCTGTCGCTGGAAAAGTATTATTTCTGGAATCAGTCACGCCCTGACTTCTCACACTACTTGCATCCATCTATGGGCAGAGCAGTAACCATCTGTTTCCGAGTGCGACAGCCCTCTGCAGAAGAGGACGTTTGCTCTGGGAATGCTAATGCCAGGTGACAATGGCCGCTCGCTGCCGGGAACACTTCAAGAACGGGCTTTCCTCTGCAGACTCAATGGGCTGCTGGCTCTCTGGAGAGGCCTGGCAAGCCTGGGGTGTGTGCCAGCGGCCCCTGCCTGGCATCCTGGGGAGTCCCCTTCCTGACCTGGCACATTAGGAAAAGAGAGAGCTCTCAGCAGGCTGCAGAGGCCTAAAGAGACAGGTGGGCAACAAGAACATGATTTTTCTTCCTGATGAGTTTCTGTTCTTCTTACAATACTGTACGTGCTCGACGTGCCCAGAACGCTTCTGAGCACTGTATACAGTTTGCAAATAAAAAATATTACAGGTTACAAATGGGAGCAAAAAATGACTTTTAAATGGATTGTACTTTAAGAATTCTGGAGCCCCAAAACAAACAAAGCAAAACAAAGCAAAGAATTATGGAGTGTGGACATTTCCTTGGGAGCTTCCAGAATCTCAGCTGAGGCAGAAGCGTGAGAAGACCCAGGGAGGACAGTGCAGGGACGAGTGACTCTGAAAGGGGCTGCCTGTCACCTCTACAGACAGCAGCTGAGGGACGTGCTCAGAGCTGGTCCTGAACATGTGGGTGAGGTAGGGGAGTCTACATATAGCATTTAGAAGCTTAACAGAAAGCAGAGATCAGAAGTCAGTTTCACACAGGGACACAGTATTAGGATTTCTTCATGTCTTTTCACAAGAAAACGAAAAGATTGCATCTAATACCTTTTTTTTGTTTGTTTTGTTATTCAATAGCAAAAACAACTCAATTAAAGAATGGGAAATGGCCCTGGCTGGTGTTACTCAGTGGTTAGAGCATCGGCCCATGCACCAAAGAGTCGTGGTTTCAATTCCTGGTCAAGGGCATGTACCTGGGTTTTGGGTTTGCTCCCTGTTCCTGGTCGGGATGAGTGGGAGAAGGCAACCAGTTGATGTGTCTCTCTCACACAGATGTTTCTCTTTCTCTCTCTTTGAAAAGCAATGGAAAACATATCCTCAGGTGAGGATTAATAACAACAAAAAACACAGAAACCACCCTCCCCCCCCAACAAAAAAAAGGATTTGTCTTATTAGAAAAAGAAAAAAGAACGGGCAACAAAGAAACTACTGATGGAAATGTAACATGGTGTACCACTGTGGAGAACACAGTTTGATGATTCCCCAAAAACCTAACCCTAGAATTACCATAAGATCCAGCAATTCCATTTCTGGGTGCACACCCAAAGGCACTGAAAGCAGGCACTTAAAGAGTTATTTGTGTGGTCCATCCACACAATGGAATACTATTCAGTCATAATAAGAAATGGAATTCTGACACCTGCTACAATATGGAAGGACCCTGACAACATTATGCTGAGAGAAACAGCCTCACAGCAGGACAAATCCTATAAGTGGGGGAACTCATAGAGACAAAAGGAGAACGGAGGTCACCAGAGGCTGGGGGAGGGGAATGGGGAGTTAATATTGAGTGCGTGCAGAGTTTCTGTTTGGGGTAATAACGAAGTTTTGGAAACAGTGGTGACAGTTTGTGAATGTCATTAATGCCAATGAATTATACACCTAAAACAGCAAAGTTTATGTAATGTGTATTTTACCACAATTTAAAAACTTAATAACTGCCTGGCTGGTGTTGCTCAGTGGTTGAGCATCAACTTATGAACCAGGAGGCCACAGTTCAATTCCTGCTCAGGATACATGCTAGGCTTGATCCCCAAGAGGGGGCATATAGAATGCAGCTGATCAATGATTCTCTCTCATCACTGATGTTTCTATCTCTCTCTTCCTCTCTCTTTTCTTTTCTGGGGGAAAAAAATAATCCTATATATTAAACCTTTAATATGCAAATTGACCAAATGGTGGAATGACAGGAATGACCAGTTGCTATGACACACACCGACCACTGGGGGCAGATGCTCAATGCAGGAGTTGCGCTGGTGGTCAGTATGCTCCCACGGAGGGAGCGCTGCTCAGTTACAAGCTGGGCTCAAGGCCGGCAAGTGCAGTGGTGGTGGTGGGAGCCTCTCCTACCTCTGCTGCAGGCGGACAGTAAGGAGTGAGGGGTCTTTGATTACCAGAGCCCCAGACTGTGACAGGAATCACAGACTGCAAGAGGGTGCAGAATGGGCTAAGGGACTCCCCTTCCAGTGCACGAATTTCATGCACTGGGCCTCTAGAGTGTGTGTGTGTGTGTGTGTGTGTGTGTGTATTTAAAAAATAAAAAAATAGTTAATAACATAATGTATTAAAACCCACTGAACTGTATATATTAAATGGGTGAATTATATCTCAACAAAGCTGTTAAAATTTCTTCAAATGCTTCCCCTGGCACCTGACATGCCCGACTTTGTTAATGTAGGCTACAATAGCTTTTGTATTTTTAATAGCGATAATATGCCAAGAAATGGGAAATCTAAGCACTGAATGGCAGCAATGTGCATTCACTTATAAAGCAATGATCAGGAAACAGTTACCTCTAACAGGGAACAACTGTTACTGACAGCAAAGCCTCTTCGGTACCACAGCACTAGAACCCTTGCTCTAGTCCCTCCGACTGAAGTCAGCTACATGTGCTGCTAACCCCAGAGGGGGAGTGTTAAGCTGCACACAACTTACTGGTGACAACTGCCCAGCACTGAGTTCCAAGTACAATGAGGGTCAAGGTGGCATAAATCCACTACAATCCAGGGACCTGTCACTACAAGGACTACACCTGGAAAACCCATAACACCGAGTGAACTCAGAGTGTCACTAGGGCTAGAGCTGAAGAGGGAAGAGCTGATCAGCTGTGTGTGTGTGTGTGTGTGTGTGTGTGTGTGTGTATGGGAAGGGGGCACTTGGCGACAGGGCAGCGCAGGACCACTTACTGGTTCCGTGAGGGTGCTGTCCTTCTCCAGAAACTGCACAACACAGTACGCCAGCTGACAGGTAGAGGAGAGAAGTATTAGCGTTTCATTTTTAACAGGGAAGTGCCGCTGCGTTTCTAGGACCCTAGCATCACTGCTGACACTTCCCTCTGCTGAGACAAGGACGTGACCCGCTCAGGTGCTGCCCGGGGGCGTCCCAGAAAGGCGGGATGGGCCCCGCTGCAGCCAGCACAGGTTCTTCCCCCTCATCAACTGCAGAGGGGACAACAAAAAGCTGAGGAGATCGGGAAACTGTGCTTTGGGCTAACACCAATATGTCAGCCCCGGCCTGATGGGGAGTTTTCCTGTGGCTTTTTGGAGACGAATGAACAATATGACAAATGGGAAGAACCAAAATTAAAATCTGGTTCCACCTTCAATCTCTGAAGTATTGATTTCTGATAAAGAACAATTAATATGACATCAACGGGGCTGAATGTAAAGATCTTACCAGTTAGTAACAAACAAACAAAAAAACTCTAAGCAAAATATTTCCCAGGAGGCCAATGTCGTTAGAATCATCTGAAGAATATAGTTGACCCTTGAACAACGCAGAGGCCGGGGCCAGTGCCTGAACACAAAAAACCCGTGTGTAACTCAAACCAGCCTTCTGCGCATGCTGATTCCTACTACTAGTTGACCCTGACAAACCTTTGTACGCCATAAGCATCTGTAGACGCAAGAGGCAGACCTTCCTCACACGCCTGCACGTTTATAAAAAAAAAGTTTTCCCTAAGTGGTAGCCCTGCCCAACTTTAAAATCATTTTTCATGAGAATTTTCAGCTGAAAATATTCAAGAACACCCGAATTGTGAGTAACCTGTATTTATTTTTGTAATATTCATTGCAAATTGATTTAAAATTAAATTCAAAATATCGTGGCGTGTGCGGATGGTTTCCGTTTCGCATGTGTGGCAGTTTAAACATGGATCTGAACTACATGAGTCAATTGAAGAAAAAAAAAAAATCCAAGCTGAGGAGACCCTCCCCCCCCCCCCCAGTTCAAATCCGAGTTGTTCAAGGATCAACAGTTTTTCCTACAATTTATCCCTCACTGCAAGCTCCCTCAGTGGGGCCTGCAGAGTGGAGTTCTGGAATACACTGGCTACTGATGCCATCAGTCTCGCTGAGGTCTGTCTACATGGACCTCAGAAGACTGAGAGGAAGGATTAACCAGATCTCCTGGGCACCTGCAGTGGTTAGTAGCCACACAAGGACCTACTTTTCAGTGTGACTGTACTTAGACTTCTACAAAGTTGTAAAGATCCAGGGTTTAAAAACAAACCTTTTTTTTGGCCACTTCACTGGCTACAGACGTCCAGGCGCTGTGTACAGGTACCCTTTCTTTAAGGTGCTGGATTTTAAATGATACCACAGACTCATTTCCTCTGAGAAGTCCTCCTTGGCTCTTTTCATCAAGCCTGTCACTCCCTTTCCTATGTTTAGAACTCACTGTGAAATTCTCCACTCCTGAGAGTGTTCTGATTCTCCTAAAACGAATCTCTTTACCCTCGTGTTCTTTCATTAGCCCCAGAGCCTTGGTACCTGGGCAATAATGTGATATAAGAAAGGAGCACTCCCAGTAACAGGGCGGACTCAGTCTCTGGACTCGGTAATGTTCAGGGAAGACCGCCGTGCCTCCAAGCCTCTTACCTGGGGGTGGTAGACACTTAGAGATTTCACTTTGTGCAAAGGCAGTAACACCTTCAATAAGAAAATCTTGTGCTCTTCTTTCAGTGGTAAGGCAAATCCATTAATTATACTGTGAAAACAGAAGTCATGTACAGTTTGAATATTTACCAATTCCAGATTTAATAAAAGTATCTTGTTTTTATCATGAAAACCAGCAAGCAAAAAGATAAGTTTCAGAATAGAGGAGAGTATCAGCAGAAATTTAAAAGAAAATGAAATACCTTCCAGGTTAATTTTGTCTATAACTACAGGGCAATTTTAAATTTCTGGATTTACAGGGTGTTATCCAGAACAGCGTAAGTCTCTGGGGACAAAACCTCCTTCCTTAGGCCACGAAGACCAGGCAGCTCAGCTGGCACCCGCAGCTCCAGGGTGCCCACACCCAGCACTTGCCCTTGGCCTTCACCCATCCTTAGGAATTCCCTTTCCAGGACAAATTCGGGCTCGTTATTCTATCGCTGGCAGAACAGAGTCTGAGTGCACAGAACTGCTTTGGTTAAAAATCAGCAAGAAACCCGTTCCCTTCTGCAAAGAAAGGAGAGTCTTACTCTTAACCTGCAAACCAAAGTTTCTGTCTCTAACATCAAGTGGATATAATTACGCAGCTGCAGGTAAATGTTACCAAGAGCTATGAAAGCAGTTAAAGCATCTTCTACATTGTTCCCCCATCATTCACGAACCTCAGGGACAGGGGCCCTGCAGGCAGGGTTAGTCTTAAGTGGCCCTCAAGGACCATATGCTCATTCACCTGGGGGAACCCTCAAGATCAGATCCCTCTTCTGGAAGGATCTGGTAACCAAGCATAGCCGAGGGAGGACACGGAGGCCTGTGGGCATTGTGCTGGACTCCGCAGAGAGCTCACCTTGCCTCTCGACAACCCAGCAGATGAGTAAAATTTATCTTCCCATCTCACAGATAAGGAAACAGATGCAGAGTGGTAAGTAATTTTCCCAAGGTCTAGAGAATGGTGTAAGTTTTCTTGCTTTGGGGAAGGGGTGGTTGAATTTAATGAACTGGATCATTCTGCTATAAATCCCATCTAAAGCCAATGGCTACCAATAACACAAAGACGACTTACCTTCCCAGTATTTCCAGTAATTCTGCTATGCCATTGTGATGCTCTGTTTCATAAATAAACCTGGAAAAGGCAATTTGTCATGTAGAATTAGACAGCAAAATGACACCTGGGAAGACTAAAATCCTCTGAATAAGAAAACAGTGCTTTTAGGGGGGAAATCATGCAGCCAGGCAACAATAAGCACATCGATTTTGTAAAAACCATCCCAGGGGCACTGTTTCTTGTCATCAATAAGCTCCTAGGAGCCTCCCACTCAAAAATTCCCCATCATTTTATTCCGAAAGTTTTCAAACAAAACGTTGGAAGAATTTTACAATGAGCACCTGTGTTTCAACCACCCAGCCTTTACAATGAACATTTTGATGTTTACCTTACCAGATCCATCCATTTTGATGTTTGCCTTATCAGATCCATCCAAAAAATTCATCATTTCCCCCCCCCCTGCATTTCAATGTAAGTGGACATCTTAATCTGGACGCCTCCAATATTTAGTCTCTTCCTGACCACTTGGGCCGCCTTGTTGCTTTCTGACACTGCCCCGCCCCACCCCTGTACAAGGCAACCTGAAGACCTCCATCCCCTTGCAGAAACCAGCCTGCCACCCATCAGATACTTCAAACACGTCACTGAATACACTGGGACAATGAGCGGGGACACAAAACAGGACGACGTCTCTCCCCAAGAGGATCTACTCGGGAACCACCGGCCGCTGCCTCACACTGGCTCACCGGGGTTAGTCAGTCTAAACCAGGAGTGGGGAACGGCTGGCCCTGCCCAGGCATTCGGGGAAGAGTTAAATGTTTGACCAAAGTAACAATCTAACATTTAAGTTGATAATTTTGTATGGCTCGCAAATGATGGTATAAATACCCAAATGGCCCCTGGCAGGAAAAGGTTCGCCACCAACATGCGCGCTGATTCGGCTGAAGGGAGGGGTGTGAGAAGTCGTTCCTGTCCACCAGATGGACACCTCATTTAGAGACTGCTCTAAGCCAGAAATGAGTTTGTGATTTATAAAGAATGTGACTCCCATTTTATTGTCCTCGTTTGGGAACTTGGCCGAACACCCACAGGATGTAAAATAATCCTGCAGGATGTGCCTAACCCGTCTACAGGGCCAGAAGCTAGCTCACAGTTGTGACTATGCAAAACAATTTATCGTTGTATTATGCATTAACTATTGTATTGTTTTCCATGTGAACAACTGTAAACCTTCTTCTGCCCACCCGTATACTACTGGATGGCCAGTCCACTGAGGGGTCAGTTCTTGAACTGAGCTCCGAGGTAGGCTTCCCACAGATTGGTAAAGATGGGGGTGTGGAGTGGGGAGAGAACTCATCTGGCTGGAACAAAGGTTTATAACTTGGACTGGATAGCGGACAACTGGCAGGAAGGTGGGCAGGGTCCATGGAGACTGGAGGTCAGCTCAAACCCACTTGGATCTGAGCCCACAGTGGCAGGGTCAGCAAAACAGTGACATGCATGCAAGTGGATCTAATGTGGCATGAAAATAGGCAGGGAGGGGGCGAATGGAACATGGCAGCCTGGGGGATGAATGAGGGCGGGAAGGAAGGGGCTGAGCCACCAGTAGATAAATCCCTTCACTGCCGCCTCACGGAGCTCAGCCTGAAGGCTCCCTTCTGTGTCACTGGTTTGAAATATTCAAAACAGTTTAAATGCACAAAGCTACAGCTTTGCATACAGCACCACTTAGCAAATTGTGACACAACTCCTCTCCCTTAGACCTGGAGGTGCCTGCCCCCCCTCACCCCGGCACTGCTTCCGATCTGGCCTCACCAGCTTTAATGTTAAATAGGAATGGCTTTTACTTTTGAGCCATTTTGTTTTCCTAAGTCAACAATGTTTCCTTACTGGTAAGTTCTTACTTTCTCATTACTTTAACTCGATTTGAAATTGGAATAAGAAATAGAAAAGTAGTTTTCCTTCTGACTTCTCCAATGGGAGACAAGAAGCTTGGTGTAAAACGGGAGGGAAGCCATGGAGATCCATGCAGGCGGGCAAAAGGGTTGCTCACTCTTTCAGCAACAATGGAATGAGGGCTCTCTACACCCATGGGCTCCTCTCCTCCCTGCGGGATAAGGCCTGCCCTCTTGTGAGGAGGTGGAACCACTTTCTGCTCCTGAGACTGTGCTGCTCAGTCCTGGCATGAGTGGCTGGGACCAAAACACAGGGTGGAGGTCTGAACCACTTCTGGCTACACCCTCAACCCTGGGAGCTGCTGGGGGCCATCCCAGCCCTCACGGACACCAGGTGCCCCAGTGTCAGAATTGTGAGAAAGAATACATTGTGGTTCTTGACCACGCAGATGTGGGGTGGTTTGTCAGCAGTAGGGACTGAAGCCTGGCCCCACCACAGACACCTAACCTTCTGGGTCCACTGTTTGCCCGAACAGGCGTTACCGCTATCTAGCGCTCTCTATAAACCACATCTTAGAAATGCTGATGAGAATGAGAAACTATAGAAACGGGAACTTTCCACTAACATTTGAGTCAGTTGAAGCAAATATGTCTGACATAGTCTTTTTCTTATAAGATACTAGGAAGAATTTCGATGAGCTGAATCTCTCTCCCGAGGTGGTCCTCTTTGTTTTCTCACATGAAATGACGTGGAAGTGGTATCAAGGGTGAAGACTCAAACAATTATGGAATCTACATATGCTTATTTTTGACTGCATGTATCAATAATTATAATTATAGAGAAGATAATTGGGGAAAAAAACCCCACGCTCTTGCATTGAGCATTTAGTGAGAGCTGAACTAAACTGTGTAGTAACTTTTCAATAACCTATTCAAGTATTTCAGTTCTAAATTAGAACTCTTTTAAGATATGAGACATTTTTTAATTCTTTAATGTGGGTGTTATTGGTGATTCTGTTATCCAAACAAAACCTATATTTAAGGACAAAAAAAATGCACTTCGGTGGAGCTTACTATTAGACCTAAACGACTGGACTATAAATTGCACCTCTTGTTTAAATAATGGCTTTTATGTTGATAGATAAGTTCACTAGCCAAGTAATGATCTTGTTAACACAGAGGGGTGACACCAAGAACATACACAGGAACATGCGTCGCCATTCCCCAGGAGACCTGGAAGGAGCTCAGAGGGCAGCCCCACCCACACTGGAGCTCTGACCTCGAGTGCCGTACTGAGTGTGCAGGTAAGGGAGAGGATTATACCCTGATGACTGCAGAAGTGCAGGCCACGGAGACTTCAAAGACTGGGGGGTACACTAGGGCCAGGCTGGTGACGGAACGAGAGGAACCAGTGACAGAATCCCCAGAAAGGCTGTTGGTTTCCATCTGACCAATCGCTCTTGGCCCTTTTTCCCCCGCTGCTTGGTCACGGCGTTTAACGGGCCCACCTGGCCTTTGCGGTGCTCGGCGGGGTCCGCATTCTCACCTGGCACTGCTGCTAGGCTTGCTGAGGGATGTGCACGCTGTGCCTCGCCCCACTAGGCCCTGTCCCTGAGCCAGCCTGGAGTTGGGGGACTGAGGGAAAGTCTTCCTAAGAAGCCACAATTCACAGAATAAGCTACTAATTAGTGAGCCTCCTGGGGCCAGATAAGAAACTACATTATTTCATCCATCAACATTTATTTGGTGCCACCATGGCTGGGCATGAGCTGGTATTGAGTGTGTGACAGAGCAGGTGACACAAAGCTTGCCTTCACAGGGCAGGGAGGCTTTCCTGGCAAGCAGATGCTTCCAGAAGTCTGGAAGTTGCGAAGGGCTGGGGAAAAGAACGTTATGAGGATCAAACAAGGCTGCCAGGTGGTGGGGTGGAAGGAGCTGAAGCTGAGCAGGGAGCCAACATTGGGGAACCAGACCTGTGAGACCCAGGGCCCCACCCAGGACTTAAAAGCCGTTCACCCAAAGGGCGCTGGTCAGCCGGTGACTCAGAAGCGGCAGCAGCAGAGACGAAGGTTTGGAGGGGTGTTGAAACTGGGATGGGAAGGGTTTGGGGTCAAGGTGAACACTGTGCTTGGAACATTCTCTCGTGAGCCATGGGGCTGTGCCCTCCTCCTCGTAAACTCTTGTGACCAGTTTCCCAGTTTCCACGGTCCTGCAGGCCAAGGGGGGGAGGGTTGTGACTGCTAGAAGCGGCCGTGTCACCATATGCTGCTCCCAGCAGGGCCTCCTTTTCCCTGGTGCACAGGGCCATTCCCAATCCTCTAACGTAAGTCCCCGATTTCCTCCAGATCCACTCCTCACTCCCCTTTCACTGACTTGCAATGGGGAAGAATGAAGGAAAGGCAGGAGGAAGGAACAGCCAGAGTTGGACAGATCATTCTATCCGCATTCCAGAGGGAACCACTGGTTTTAGTAAAAACCGAAATAAAGGAGGGTGGGAAGCTGGGAGTGAGCAGTGGGGTGAGGTGGAAAAGGGAGAGGGTCCAGCCCCAGCCTGGCACGGAGACGCAGGTGCAGACTGGAGCCACCTGGACACGACCAGCTGGCTGCTCAGAAACAGCCACTGGTGCTCTTTGGTCACTTGTCAAAGGAATGATGAAGTGGGGGCATTAAGTATGCAAAGAAATATCACCCCGTGAAAAGAGAAATGTCACCCATGCGGACTTACCTATAAAATATATTATTTATCTGTTTTCTGATGTAAGCTCTTAAGCCTAAGAATTTTCCGTAGATTCTGTGAAGGGTAGTTTTAAGAAAATCTCTCTCTCGAGGATCTTCACTGTCAAAGAGCTCTAAAAGCTTCAAGAAGAAAAAGACACTTAGTGACCTGGGATTCTCTGTAAAGCAGGGCTTTTGTGCTTTCAGCTAATTTGGGCCTTACCTGCAATACAAACTTCTGATCAATATATTTCTTCGCTATATTAGGTTGGAAATCTGGAGACTCTAAAAACCTTAGGAAAAATTCATAAACAAGCTAGGAGGAAAAAAATAACAATGAGTCAAAAAACAAGGTATTTTACTAAATGGAGATGAAAAATACACCATGAGTTGAATCTTTGTCTTCGTATATTAGCCTTACAAAAGTCATGTATCTGTAGATTTAATGCTAAATTGCATGGCTTAATTTAATTGTAACTGATGATGGTAACTGTTTTGTTTTGCTAAGAACCATAGACTACCTCCTTAAATGGCATTTAAACAAAAGGATGTCACCAATGCTTCAATCACGCTGCTCAGAGACCCCAGTGCACGGCAGCCACAGCTGGGCTGGGACCAAGCTCTGGGTGGGATTTGGAGCCTGTCACCTCCAGGCGCCCTGGGAGAGGCAGGTCGACAGAAACCGGGGCTGCTGGTGAGCAGATGTCCAGATGCCACAGGCGGGAACGCTCTGCTGCCGAGACAGCCCTCCCTTTCTGTCTGTTCCCCGCCTGGCTCCTTCCTGGGTTTCTCATCTCTCCATCTCCCCTCCTCGGACCGCCCAGACCTCCCAATCCAGTGCTCTGCTCAGGGTGGGCTCCCAATCAACCTCTTGCCCTACAAATGCTCTGAGAAAGGCATTGGCCAGCAGGTGACCTTTGGGGCACATAGCAGGTGCACATTAAATCTAAGTACCCCAAATGGGAAATGCCGTGTGAGTCCTCCAGGTCTCAATTCAATGGCTGTCAGCAAAGTAATCATTTCCATCAAAGACATACTGACAGTTCCCTATCTCTGTAGTTGATATAGAGTATTTAAACAAAGAAAAGTCACTGAATGTTCTCTCTTCTGCTAAAACATTTTCATGTACACATAGGTGTGCCAGGCCTATGCCAGTATGATCAGAGGTCCCCCTGCAACCAGCTGGGCTGAGGCCCTCAGGCCAGTGCACTGAGTCAGAGGAAGACCCCACGGACATATACATCTCATTTACGCCCGCTTCTGACCATTCCGCAGTTCAGTACCTGTAGGTGAGGCCAGGCTGCTTCTAACGTTGGTTCGTCTTCCTCTGGGTCAAATTCTGCTCCCGTAGGATTGGAGGAAGGTGGTAATGTTCGAAACATATTAACTGCAAACTAAAATCCACATAGTCTATAATTATAACCAGGACATTAAAAATATTTACCAAGAACATGAAAAAAAATCTTAAGTAATTCTAAAGAGAGCTGATTCCAGTGGAATTCTCAAAATTCAGAAGCAGTGTGGGCCCCCAATGAGATTCTGGTCAAACTGCAGCAGGAGCCCTAGCTAGTGTGGCTCAGTGGATAGAGGACCACTGAGGACCAAAGGACATGTACCTCAGTTGCAGGCTCCTCCTCAGGGATCATGCAGGATGCAACCAATTGATGTTTCTCTCACATCGATATTTCTCTGTCTTTCCCTCTCTCTCTCTCTCTAAAAATCAATGAGGATTAAAAAGCAAACAAAACGCTTGCTGTCGGAAACATGGCTGTAGACAGGCGATCCAAGATTCCTGCTTGACTCTGAGCTATCAACTTTCACAGACAAACAGCATCTACAAATGTCGATGGGCAGTGATGGCCTTTATCATGTCGTCAGAGCAAAAGCAAGAAGAACGTTCACAGTCTCGCAAGAAAAGGGTGAGATTACCAAGGAAAGAGCAGGGGTTAAGAACTGAAGACAGTGGTACATGGCAAATACCATTTTGTGCTGGGACGCCCTGTGCCTGACGCAGAGCCTCTGCAATTAACACTGACAGCACAGTTAAGACGGAGAACTTCTGAGTGTGCGGCTAGAATGTCATTCCCAGAGACAGGCTGCAAGAATCATCACAGGACAGCTCGGCTGAGTGCCCAGAGACCCGGCAGTTAAGAAGAAAATTATCTGGGATTTGGATGATTTCCTCATAGGACTCATAACCCCTTCTTGGATCCCCATTTTCATATCACCCTTCACCAGTCCCCCATCCCGGCTTCGTTTATGTTCAACTTCATAAAAACGAATCAATGTGTTTTAGAACAGAGGTTTTCTGCATTAAGTCTAGGGTTACTTGGAGCACAGGTGTTTTAATGCCTGTCTGGTTAATATGAAAAGTTAGCTCTCTAAATAAAGCACAACATAACTGACACATTCTTGATATAAATAAAAAGTTCAGTAAGTTAAAATATGACCAGCTACCTTACTGAGTTTGAGCCTACCACCTGCCAGTTACAGAGTTGTGCTCTTACAGGTGACCAGAAAAAGCTCTGGCCCCATTACTCCCCAACGCACAAAATCACTTGACCTTACACCGGAGCCCGATTCCATGACAACAATTAGAATGTATCTGTGGAGGAGAGGCCAGCCATCCAGCTCACCCTGTCTTCACTGTTACCGATTCTGAACCCCAACCGGTAATCCCTGAAGAAAAAAGCCTGCTCTTTTAGCCATTGCTGTAACAGCCCCGAGCACCAAGTTTGTTCTGTGTCTTCTGGAGGATGGGCTGCGGCAGAGCAACTGATGGGGCGCAGAGACAGGACAGGGGGTGGGGAGGGATGAAAAAAATGGTTGGAAATCCAGAAACAAATAGATGAAAAACACTTGTAGGAAAAATATGAGTGATGCTCCTAAGACACAGTAGAAAGCGAAAGAAGTCTGCAACCTGTGAACAGGTAGTGTACAGGGCTTGCTAGGAAAGGACCTCCCAGACAACAGGTGATTAAGGAACAGAGGCTGTGACAGGTGTTACCAGGCAGCGGGCACGTCCTCAATCACTGGCCCCAGGGTACCCCTCCAGGCACCCTGATCCCAAAGCCCGCACAAGACAGTGGAGAAGAACCTTCCCCTCCTCACAAAGGAAAGGCCAAACCCTGGGTAGGCACCGTCACCTCCAGGGGTGCATTCCAGGGCAAAGAAAGCACAGAGGAGAGGCAGAGGCTGTGGCCTTCGTGAGTGTGTTATTTGTGACCTGGGATTTTCTAACCTCTTCCTCAAAGCCAAATGATTGGGGGACTCCAAGAGAGTCGCTCAGAGATGGGGGGCTGGAGAGTGACAGCTGCAGCTCAGTGTCCCTGGCGGCAGAGGTGTCTATGAACACACACTGCCTGCCTCTGAAAGCTTCAGAGGCAAGAGATGTGCTGCAGCAGCCTGTGACTCAGGGGCACTGTACCGGAGGGGAACACACGGCTGGAGGGATCAGAGGAGCAGAGGGGACGCCCAGGAACTGCCTAGGGAGCGGTCAGTTCACCCAGATGGGGCTAGAGGTCTGAAGAAAAGGGGAGAAGGCTGCCCCTCAGGGCGGGGGGGTCTCCGGAGCACAGACATCGTTTGCAGGAAGGACCACCACATGGGTAGAGGCCTAGATAGCATGCAGCATACACACAGCCTGCGCTGCAGCTGGACCTGGGCTAGTCCACTTTAGGTGCCTCACCTGCCAAGTTGCTCACCGGAGGGCACAGATGAGGCTGGAGTCTGGGGTTAAAGCGTTAAGCTAGGTAGGACAGCTATAACCAAGATGACAAAAAGGGGCAGGAAAGGAAGTCTCCACAGTCCTGGTTAAAGACAATGGTCAGTGTTAGAGTGCCCCGTTATCCAATCAGGCAGTAACGTGAGCGTCACTGTGAAGGTGGATGGTAGTTAACATCCAATTAGCTGGCTTTAAGGAGATCACCCTCATGAATATGGTGAGCCTCACCCAGGCAGTTAGAACGCCTTAGGAGTGACTCTATGGTCCCTGAGGAAGAAGGAATCCCATGTGAACAGCTGTAAGCCTTGCTCCAGTCCAGCCTGGCCCTGCCCCATGGCGTTGCCTCGCCTAGTCACCTCCACAGGTGGAAGACAGTTCCCTTAATGCTCTATCAACCTCTGTCTCTACCCGCTGGCCTGTTCTCTGGCAGCACTCTGACAGACTCAGCGAGGGCTGGCTCTAGTTTCAGGGTGAAGCCCCATGCCCAGCGTTATGACAGCCTGGGCCCATCCCCAGCACCTGTACCTTCAGTGAGGTCTAGATGCTGAGCTAGGAGGCTGCAAGGGGATGTGGGCCAAACTGCTTTGAATGCAGAAGTCCCCATTTCGGTATTCTTTAAGGATGATCACCCTGGATCCAGGAAGTGTCATTATTAGCCAACACTAATTGATAAAAAGTTATTTACTTTAGGCAACAAATCTTACACTGTAATTTCCACCCACCTTCCCGACCACATTACACTGCATTAACTTAATGCTCATATCTAAACAAGGTTAGGAGAGAAGAAGGCAAACAGGAGGCCAATTGGAGTTACTCTTGGGTTTCTATCCTAGCAACATTTCTTAGCACAAAAGCCACGGGGGTCCAATTTGTTGAGTGCTGATGTCCATGTGCTCGAAGGAGCGTGCTGTCCAGATGCGTGGAGTTCTGTTTGAGGGAAACGCAGAAGGTGACCTTTGTCGATGTCTTGCCATGGAAGCTGAAGGGAACCTTGTGCCTACTGTTGGTCTGAGCAGTCTGATGGGGTCAGACAGGTCCCTGTCCGCTCAGCTGAGGGGCTTTGATGCAGCCAGAGTCAGGTCACACAGAATAGCATGGCCTTGGGGGGCAGCATCTGTGGGCCTCCTCCCACCCAGAAGCAGGACCCTAGATGGAAAATCCTGCCCCTCAAGCCTCAGTTTCCTCACCTGTTGAAGAGGGTAAAGCCTCTGCACTGAGCACAAGTAGAGTTACCACATGGGTGGGCGCATGCCTGCGGTCTGCACAGCCACTGAGGTGACATGGACTGACTGTAACATGAGGAAGCACCTGCTTTTACAGCTTTCTTGGCACTCCCACTTTCAGTACTTAAAATCAGTACCAAATTGCTACATTTACTGAATTAGATGCAACCAAATTATGGAAAACCCTCATGATTCTGTAGTATCAAAAAGCCTTTCTATCACTGTAACAGTCACTACCAGGGGAAGTACTAACACATTCAGATCAGAGGTCACTGCAGCACAGGGGACAGGTAGAGGTGTAAGTTATAAAGGGATTCACTCCAGAGAACACTGCTAATCTAATTTCGGAGATGACGAGGAAAGAAAGGTTGCTTATTCAGTTCTTTGTTCACAACCACAAGGCTATGATAGCGATGCTGTTTTATGCATGTGAACAGGATTTATAAAGGTGAGTTCACCAAAGGCCAAATTATAGTTCCTCCAGACACTCTTCCTCCAGTAATAGAAATTCTAAGCTGAGTCAGGTTGCTAAGAGACACATTTGGGGCGGGGGGGGGGGGGGGGAGTGAGGTGGAGGGGCAGTGGAAGCACATCTACAATTTTTTAAAATAAAAAATTATATTTAATTATAAATAGTACAATGTATGTATAAAAACCAACAGAGGTAACAGAGTATCTCAGCAGGGCCACGGATGCAAACCAAACAAAAACTAAAAATACAAACCTAATGGCAACAACCTCACCTCTAATAAGCAACATGAAAACATAGCCGATAGGAATATCCAGGAACACACCACTACAATGGCCAGTTAGTTACCAACCCTAGTGATGGGCACTGAAGAGCTCCCTGCCTGGGGAAGGGACTGGCCATTCTCTAGGGTGGGGGATGCTGCTTCTCCATGAGGTAGCTCATATACCAAATACCATCTTAAACACAATCCTTTTTCTCTTTCTTTCTTTCTTTCTTTCTTTCTTTCTTTCTTTCTTTCTTTCTTTCTTTCTTTCTTTCTTTCTTTTTAAAAAAATATATTTTATTGATTTTTTACAGAGAGGAAGGGAGAGAAAGAGGGAGAGAGAGCTAGAAACATCAATGAGAGAGAAACATCGACCAGTTGCCTCCTGCACACTCCCTAACAGGGATGTGCCCGCAACCAGTGTACATGCCCTTGACCAGAATTAACCTGGGACCTTTCAGTCTGCAGACCGATGCGCTATCCACTGAGCCAAACCAGTTTGGCTTAAACACAATTCTTATTGAGGTTTTTTTTAATGAACTCAAAGGATGTAATTTAAACTTTAGGTGGATAATAAAAGTCTTAGCAGCAATCTTAAAGAGAGAGAGAGAGACTGTCTATTAGTTGTAAACTTAGTCCAAATCTGCATTCCCGGCCAAGTTCAGCTGTCACCCTGAGGACACGTGCCACACTTCACTCCCTCCCTACTCTCC